TTATTTGTAATCGAAAGTGTCGGGTTTTGAAAAAAATATGCTCGGTAGGTTTTACGTCATCGCAACAGCTAGGGCCATGTGAGTGCGGGTATCAGAAAGTGGCATCAAGAGCCAGGGTGATGTGGTTAAGGGGTACTTGGGGACAAATAGGGTCAGGATCATATAAGTACCTGTAAAACGAGGTAAGCATCAACAGCCTGAGTCATGTGAGCACGGGGTACATGGGGACGAATAGGGTCAGGATCCTATGAGTACGAGTGAAAGAAGGTGGGCATGAACAGTCAGGTTGATGCGAGTTCGTGTTACTAGGGAGATAATGCGAGTACGGTCGTTTAGGGGAACGCCAACACTCAGGATCTGGTAAGTACGGGTGTCCATAGGTACATAAACAGCCACGGTCATGTGAGGACGGGTGTCTAGGGGAACGCCAACACTCAGGATCTGGTAAGTACGGGTGTCCATAGGTACATAAACAGTCACGGTCAAGTGAGGACGGGTGTCTAGGGAAACGCCACAGCCAAGATAAAATAAGTACGGGTGTCCTTGGTTACAGGAACAGTCATGGTAATGAGAGGACATGTGTATAGGGGAACGCCAACACTCAGGATCTAGTTAGTGTACAGGAACAGTGACAATCGTGTGAGGACGGGTGGCTAGGGGAACGCCAACACTCAGGATAAAATAAGTACGGGTGTCCATAGGTACATAAACAGTCACGGTCATGTGAGGACGGGTGTCTACAGGTACGGGTGTCCATAGGTACATAAACAGTCACGGTCAAGTGAGGACGGATGTCTAGGGGAACGCCAACACGCAGGATGAAATAAGTACGGGTGTCCTTGGTTACAGGAACAGTCACGGTAATGAGAGGACAGGTATGAAGGGGAGTGTCAACAGTGGTTTTCTATGGCTGGGGAGTCAGCAAAATAGCAACCATCCGTAAAAAAAACGGAATGACTTTTTTATGATGCAGGGGACAATGGGGATATTCCTTACTCAGTAAAGCAGCATTGTGTGTGGCCCTATATAAAATGAATAGTGTATTTTGATTAAGTTATACGCTGTGTATATATATAGCACATACGAGAAGTCTTCTAAACCCTGCAAATTGTCCCCCAATACATCATTACTTACAACACCGAGAAACAGAAAACACGAAAGGATTTCTCTCTGCTTTTACGTTGATGACAATTATGAAGTTAAAATATATATTGCCCTAGAGATGAACAGAAACTTTAATTTTCTTGATTGATGTTGTACCAAGCAAGCTTTAATGACAGAAAATTCAATATTTCATCTCCATTACCATCATAAATGAGTATTTTTTCTTATGATGAACACGCAGCATACAGACCAAAATCAATATATTGTAATTTATTACAAAACATTACAATATATTTTATAGTTATTTATTTATTTAGTGAATTGTGAGAAAGAATTATTATAAAAAAAGTATAATTGCTTTTAAAGGTCCTGAGGATGCATGTACTCAGCGCAGAAGTCTGTCCTACCTACCAAAACATAACATATATTTACACAGTCATGTCTCTGTATAGTCATTAACCATACTGTAAGGCACTGTTGTTGTATACCCTGTTAATTTCTTATCTATTGGCCCATGTGTCTTTGCTAACAATTAACCATCAGAATTATAACTAGTGTTTTATTATCGATATTACTTTCCGTAATTAACCTTTCGTAAATTATGAATTTTCCAGTCAGGCCTTCATCTCGAAAATCAATATAATAAGCTATCTGTATAATTAGCTGTTGTGTGTCACAATGAATAACATTTTGTATTGTCAGGTGTGACAAAGCATTCAATTATACTGACGATATATCATAACAGAAAATAATGGCTATTATCCGTAAACGGGAGTCCATTACCTTAATAAGGTCACTTAAACTGGCAGAATTTACTGTACGTAAACAATCATATTCTGTTGAACACGCAAGTCTTGCAATAAATCTCACCTCCACTGGGCTCCTTCTTACAAAAATATATAGTCCAAAATATTTCATTTTGGTAATTTGTTGTCTGTTAATTACAAACGACTTTGATATTAACATTTGTACATAGTTTATGTACATTATCTAAATGTTATACTGCCAATATTGTTTCTATTTTCCCATCATTTGAATCCTTTGTTGTACAAATAATACCCGAGACTCTCTAGAGGATAACCAATGCTGTAATGATTAACGATAGTCTCAACTCTTTCGTGATCGTACTTCGCTCTATATATGTCAAATTTTAAACTCAATTGTGAAATCCTGGTGTTAATATCCTAAATTCTGAATCAGCTGTCATTTCATTCCAATATCGTCCTATGTTTACTTTTCATGTTTGCGTCGTCAAGGAAACGGTTCCGTACGGAGAAGCATGAGACATTTTTATTCAATATGTCGCCGAGTCTCGCGCGTCACAATTATGCGTCAGTTGTTTACGATTCGGTTGAAATATTTGATCACCTTGCTCTTGTTTGTGACCACGACATTATTTACATGGATTTACCAAGTTTGACATGGCAGTTGTCGTCGATGAAGAAGAAGACGCTTACTCCTCCGGAACACTCGATCATATTCTACTTGTATAATTTTTCAGAAGTCTCTCAGTCAATCTGTAGTCAATATATATAACCCTAGTTTCATCGAATTTGAGTTTGAATTAAGATTCTGTTGACTTGTCGGTATTTTCCAAGTTATCCAAGGCCCCTGATACATTTGTCGCAAACATTTAAATGGCTATCATTTTAGGATAACTGCGATATGTTAATGTACCTTATTCACAGGTAAAGCGTATTACGAAATAAAATTGGAAGTATGAAAAACAGAATTAAAGTCATTTCGGTACCAAGTTGTTTCCGCACCCAGTTGTTTCGGTACATACAAAAGTCGTTGACTTGTAAAATAGTTTACACGGATATAGTGTCATTTTGAGTAAATAGTTTTTTTTTAGTAATGGAGCAATATTTATTAATGATAAAACACTTTAAAAACCTGATTAAATATAATTTTTAAAAGTACCGAAACGACTTATTTTGGAATTACCTAAACGACCTGATACCGAAACGACTTGTCTCCTGAAAGATAATACTGAATTCTGTTTCTTACAAACTGCAAACTTATTCACGTTCCTCGTTTCTTCCAATGTTCACTCAGGAATTTGTCTACCTATGATATGTTGCCCGTGAAAATGATTAATGAGGTATCCTTGAAGCCCAAACAACATTATCTATTCTTGATAATATGAAATTAGGGGGTCGAAAAAGCCCGACATTCAGTGGACAGAAAAGACCCGATATAATTCTTTAAATGAATCTTCTTTTTCAAAAGACACAGTTTAAGATAAAGAGTCTGAATTGAAGGGAACAGATAAAGTCCAACATGTAGGGAACAGATATTATCCAAAATTCAGGGGACATAAATAATACAAATTTCAGGGAACAAAAAATAGACCGGAATTTTGGGGAAATGGTTCGACCACTACGGAAGAGAAAAAGTCCGACTTCAAAGGGCAGAAATAATCCGCCATTTAAGGATCAGAGTTACCCTGAAATGATACTAAACAGACAGAAATGGTCCGAATTGAGGGGACAGTAGTAGTTCAAAATGTAGGGTACCGCTAGGCTAGAGAGAACTTCTCTCAAGCTTGATCGGTTGAGCGTCAGACTAGTAATCTAGAGGTCACGAGTTCGAATCCTGGCGGAGGCATTGTAATAAATAATAACCTCTGTTACAATCTACCAGTGGCGTAGCAAAACATTTTTAAGAGTGTATGCTTTCAAGAGAGGATCCAAGGGCGAAGCCCCGGTTAAGGGGGTCTAGGGGCGCAGTAAGGTTAAAAAAGTAGGGCAAATATATCTCAATGGAATTCGAGTGTATGTTTAAGCATACAAAGCATACATTATTGCTACGCCTCTGTCTACCAAATTTAAAGGAAAGAAATAGTAGTAAATTTAAGAAACAGGAATAGTTCGATATCAAGGGAACAGAAAAAGTTCTAAACTTTGGGGACGGAAGTAGACTGATATCTAAAATTAAGGGAAGAAAAGCGGGTTACATATAGAATGATAGTTTTGACATTTTCACGTAAAAAGATATATTTGTGAAATTTAATATAAGCCTTTGATGACGCGTTTTATTTTTGCCACATTTAACGACTGGATAATAATAGATTTCGGGTAGTGTGAAATGTTCACACATTAACTAGGCAAAACTCTCTTAATGAAAATATTTCATTGAAGTAGTTAATTTTACTGAATGAAACAGCGAACAAAAATCCGCGTCCATAACCATCTTATTTAAGATAAGATTACAGGAGAAATTTTACAAAGACCGAGTCTGGAAAAGAATCATTTAAATAAGCATTAGTTTGAGATAACATTAACTGGTAGAACAATAAATTGATCTCGTGGACAGGTCGTGGGGACGTACGTAGCCTACAGCAATATCCCATTGTTAACCATTCTGTTACAGAGTCGTGTATGACAATAGATAAATACAATGGATTGTGTTAAATGTCCGTCTCGCTCCAGTGACCGACGGCCGATATTATTAACCTGTACGTGTATTTCGCACTCCTGTCTCGTGTACTGGGTATCAGTCTCATGCTGAATATTATCAAAATCTTGGTTTTGTTTATGTCTCTATATAAGAAAAAACTACCGTGACATACGTATAATTTGTAACAACCCGCCCCCTACCCCCAACCCAGAAAACAAAAACAATAACGATAATAATAAAAAATACATGAAACCGATAGGATCACCATGTTTTTTATTTTATTTATTTATTATTATCAAAAACTGAAAGTATGTGCCGCCATCCCGCATCTCCCGCATCTCCCACATATCCCCCTTCTCCCACATCTCCCCTTCTCATGCATCTTCTACTTCTCACATCTCCCCCTTTTCCCACATCTCCCACTTCTCCCCCTTCCTCCACATCTCCCACTTCTCCCACATCTCACCTTCTCCCACATCTCCCACCTCTCTCACATCGCCAGCGTCTCCCACATCTCCCCTTCTCCTGCATCTCCCACATATTCCACTTCTCCCACTTCCCTCACATCTCCCACTTCCATCACATCTCCCCTTCTCCCACATCTTCCACATCATCTTCCCCTTCTCCCACATCTCCCCCTTCTCCCACATGTCCCACTTCTCCCACATCTGCCCCTTCTCCGACATCTTCTACATCTCTCACATCTCCCACCTCTCTCACATCTCCTGCATCTCCCACGTCTTCCACTTCTCCCACTTCTCCCACATCTTCCACATCTCTCACATCTCCCACTTCTACTACTCTCACATCTCCAGCATCTCCTACATCTCCCACTTCTCCCACATCTCTCACATCTCCCACTTCTCCCATATCTCCCCTTCTCCCACTTCTCCCACTTCTCCCACATCTCCCACATCTCCCACTTCTCCCATATCTCCCCTTCTCCCACTTCTCCCACTTCTCCCACATCTCCCACATCTTCCCTTCTCCCACATCTCCCACTTCTTCCACATCTCCCTCTTCTCCCCGATCTCCCACTTCTCCCCCATCTCCCCCTTCTCCCACATCTTCCACATCTCTCACGGAAACTAATATTAGTATAACTCCTGCCATCAGATAGACATTGCATCAATAGAACAGAATCAACAAACATAAACAGTTTGATGAATCCAGTTAAGTCATTTACTAATCGAAGATACGAAACTCATAATATATTGAAAAAGTATTATTTCTGATAGAGACAGCAAATATTGCTGGAAACACTCAAACCAAGGGTATGACAGAATTGTACAAGAACCAGGCCAAAGCGCTGATCCGTGTCGTGAGTGAATCAGCATGTTTTCGCCATCTACCTATCTCTTACATTTAAACGTCACTTCTCCAGGTATAATTATGTGTCTCTTTAACAGGTAAAATGTCAGATCAATGGAGAGAGTCAAAATGTCGTCAAGATGATGCTTGTATGCATATCAAAATAGTCATCTTCATGTTGTTAAAAAAATTCGAAAAATAATCAAATTTCCCGTGTTATGACAAAATATCTTTTATCAAAATATCATTAAACTGATATGTTACACAACATTTGTTATTTAATAGTTTTATTATGCATTCATCGCCAATTTTAAACGTTACTCATCTGGGTATTTAAAGGAAACGATATGAAATATTAGGAATACCTACTTCAATGACAAAAACTGTGATGATAAATTGACAATTACGCAATTACCTGATGCAATGCTGATTATATTGAAGTATTTTATGTAAGTTTATTTAGTCATTACAGTGAGATATTAACAGTTGCCCCTCGATCAATCCAGGTAGGTGATTAATGAAAATCGAAACTTCAAACATATCGGTTATCAAACAGGTGATCAGGTCGCTTGTCTTTGATTTGTGATAGCTAAAATTAATTAAATTACTTTTTAGAGCTTAAATATGAACTGGTGTTCAGTGTTTCCTAATGATGTAAATAATGACTATTTGTTACTGATATGTGTTGTAGTTATTCTTTGGTCTGAGTTATTTGAGGTCGAATAAATATTTCTAATTAATAATGACGAAACATAAATTACACTGTAGTTAGTCTGAATACAGATCTATCTTAACGATGTATTGTGAAATTTACAAAATATCACTATAAACCGAACATACAGTTACAGTGAGGTTTACCTGGTAACTCTATAAACCGGACATATATTTACAGTGACGCTTACCTGGTAACTCTATAAACCGGACATATATTTACAGTGAAGCTTACCTGTTAACTCTATAAACCGGACATATAGTTACAATGAGGTTTACCTGGTAACTCTATAAACCGGACATATATTACAGTGAAGCTTACCTGGTAACTCTATAAACCGGACATATAGTTACAATGAGGTTTACCTGGTAACTCTATAAACCGGACATATAGTTACAATGAGGTTTACCTGGTAACTCTATAAACCGGACATATATTTACAGTGAGGTTTACCTGGTAACTCTATAAACCAATGAGGTTTACCTGGAGAGGCCTTCTATATAACAAACAATATATTTACAGTGTGGTGAGGTTTACCTGGTAGCTCCTGTGGTCCTCTAGATAACTCTATAAACCGGACATATAGTTACAGAGAGATCTTCTAGATAAAACTATAAACCGGACATATATCTACAGAGAAAACTATAAACCGGACATTTAGTTACAGAGAGCTCCTCATACTTACTCTATATAGAGATATATACATTGGGACCTTCATACTAACTCTATGTAGAGATATATACATTGGGACCTCCATACTAACTCTATGTAGAGATATATACATTGGGACCTTCATACTAACTCTATGTAGAGATATATACACTGGGACCTTCATACTAACTCTATGTAGAGATATATACACTGGGACCTTCATACTAACTCTATGTAGAGATATATACATTGGGACCTTCATACTAACTATGTAGAGATATATACATTGGGACCTTCATACTAACTCTATATACTCTCTCTATGTAGAGATATATACATTGGGACCTTCATACCTACTCTATGTAGAGATATATACATTGGGACCTCCATACTAACTCTATGTAGAGATATATACATTGGGACCATACTAACTCTTTCTCTATGTAGAGATATATACATTGGGACCTCCATACTAACTCTATGTAGAGATATATACATTGGGACCTTCATACTAACTCTATATACTAACTCTATGTAGAGATATATACATTGGGACCTTCATACCTACTCTATGTAGAGATATATACATTGGGACCTCCATACTAACTCTATGTAGAGATACATACATTGGGACCTTCATACTAACTCTATGTAGAGATATATACACTGGGACCTTCATACTATAGATATATACATTGGGACCTTCATACTAACTATGTAGAGATATATACATTGGTTACTTCATACTCACTCTAGTTAATCTCTCTTTGTATAGATTTTTACATTGGGACCTTCATACCTACTCTATGTAGAGATATATACATTGGGACCTCCATACTAACTCTATGTAGAGATATATACATTGGGACCTTCATACTTAATCTATGTAGAGATATATACATTGGGACCTTCATACTTACTCTATATACTTTCTCTATGTAGAGATATATACATTGGGACCTCCATACTAACTCTATGTAGAGATATATACATTGGGACTTTCATGCTTACTCTATATACTTTCTCTATGTAGAGATATATACATTGGGACTTCCATACTAACTCTATGTAGAGATATATACATTGGGACCTTCATACTGACTCTATATAGAGATGTATACATTGGGACCTTCATACTAACTCTATATAGAGATATATACATTGGGACCTCCATACCTACTCTATGTAGAGATATATACATTGGGACCTTCATACTAACTCTATATAGAGATGTATACATTGGGACCTTCATACTAACTCTATGTAGAGATATATACATTGGGGCCTTCATTATAATTTCATCAACCGGACATATTACTAAAGCTCAGCTTCTCCTTCAGATCAGCTCACTTTTTCTGTTTAATGCTAATGTATGTCAATGGAATTCAAGTCAGAATTTAATTTTTCTAATAAATCTCGGAAAAGTGGACAAAAAATATTAATAGATTTGGTGTTAATGATCTAAATTAATGTTGGAGATAACCACCCCCCCCCAAACATAGTGTACCTTTAACTCCTTAAAATGTGTTAACAGACAACTGTTGTCATTCATTTACGTGTAAACAATGACGTCACATCACATAAACATTTTTAAAAAATTGTATATATAATTACTTACCTTCAATTCTTCCCAAAATGGCGACCAATAGCAACGAAACCAAATACTCCATCTTCATTGATTATCTTACAAGTTTACTCCATTTTGAAATCACACAACAGTAACACCTCCTGCTCTGGTTATATTCCGTTATGTTATTATATTTTTAGAAAATGTAATATTTGGATTTGGGATACACACCGACTAATATCTATTAGTAAAAATACCGTTTGTCATTACTACAACTTTTATATAACATACATTTTACCATTTTTGTTTATATGTCTCAGTTACAACCCGTTACCATAAAGGAAAAAAATCACCCCTATCACGCCCCAATAATGTTAAACAGTTACGTACATTTGTTAAATCTACGCCTATTTTGTTTTAAATAAACAGGCTTTTAATTGGTCTAAAATTGAAATATAAAAAATAACCTGGTACACTTTGCTAAATTATCAAAAAATTGGAAACACGAATTATTTGATTTCATTCTCTGTAAGTTTATATATTTCATGTTTTGCATTGGTATTAGTGTACAACAGAACATTATGTGATGTTTAACATTTATTATAAATAATTAGATTTAATTTTCTAGAAGTTTTATGTCTTGGTTTAATTTTTAAAGATGACAATGCCGACAGATAGAGCAGTTTCCCAGCGATCATGACTAACTTGAGACTTGTAGATAAATTGGATCTATTGTTTAAACAACAGAACGCCAACCGATACTATAGCGGTGTATTGTTTCATTGTTCTAAATACTGGCGATGGTGTGTCACAGTAATCTATCTTACGTATATGTTGTTACAGTACTGCAGTTCCACACAGCTAATACCAAAATAATTTTTTTCTAAAAATTACTTCCGTCACAAAATTGATCAATTGGTATATCCTAAACCTTAAATTGCTTTATTGTGCATTAAACATCGTAAATATCCGTTATTTTTCAGTCTTATAATAACGACATCAGATATTAAATACAGTGATTGTTTACTAGCGTGTAAATTCCATTACTAGCATTGAACAATATTTCAAAATTACTAAATAGAGAATATGTAGTTACATTGGAGGTCTGTATTTGTCACAACGTATAACTGTTACAAGGATATTAAGGATGAACTCTATAAAAAAAATTCATATTTCCCAATAATATTTTGACGACGACAAAAAAAAATTCTCCGAAACTGTCCACAACTTCAGGCTTCAATTCCGAAGTTGTAATTTTTTTTTGTTTTTTTTTTTTTTTTTGAGAGTCTATACATATTTCACGGATATCAATTTCGACATGAACATCTTCGGTTTGGAA